CCCAATGATTCGGTGCCTCACATTTTCCATCGTCTTGCCAAAGACTTTTTTGAAATCTGACTTGGCTAATTTATGCAGCTCGGTATTTTTGTCAATGTAACTTTTCATCCACGCTGCCTGTTGAAAGGACATTACGTGGTGCACGTCTTTCAGTTCTAAACCGAGTTCTAAATACCTCTTTAACGTGCGGTAGTGAAGCACGTATTTGTGTTTGATACCCAAAGTCGCCACCAGCTTGTCTACAGAGATAACTCTTTCTCCGTTGTTGACCAAGTCTTGTTGGTACACTGACAACCATTCATTTGGAACTACTAAGTTTTCGGGTGCTAGTGGGAAGTCGTTGTGTTTGTCATGTAAATGTTTTGGGTAGTCTAACATGACTTTGTGCATGTTGCCTTTTGAAACCCCACAAGAAACCCAAAAATAAACTCGGGGGTAAACTTGGTTATGTCTTTAATCCATTGAAATTGTCGCATCAGTAAAGGCTGACTCATGGCCCATCCGTATAAGTTGTTCACGTCTAGATACATGATGTGTGATGTCGGTTTGTCGGGGTCGTAATTTTTAAAATCTGGATTGTTTGCTTTCGCGTAACGTTTGCTTCTACGCTCGAAATGCCACCTCTTTTGGCCATTTCAAAAAACAGATGCTTGTCCATGCCGGTCAAGAGTTCGAGGTCCACGCCAGAATCTTTTAAAAGTGCGTCCCATAATAACCGCGGTGATATGTAATAGTTGGCTGGGTCTAAACTGTAGTGCTTCTTACACACTTTACGAAAATTTTCAAACACACCTGACAGTAACAATATGTCAGTTTCTACATTATAAATCGTGGTAGTCTCCGAGATTTTTACAACCGAAGGTTTGCCACACGTTTTGGGCCCGGGAGTATTATTCCTCTGAAACAGGCGCCTGCCTCAACGAGCTGTAAAACGCGGCTATTGGAGGTAGGCTTGTTTCCTCAAATCTATCAAAGGAATTGATGTATTCGTACAGGTAAATTCCCTTTTCTAAAAGTAGGCTCGTGATATCTGGGAACCTTTCGCGAAGTACATTGAAATCATCCGGGGAACAACTTTTAACCAATCGATCGAGTGAAGCTGCCATGAAATGAAATGAGTCCAGAAACCTAAGCTGACCGAGTCTAAACAAAATGTAGTTCTCGGTGTTTTTAGCGATTACTTTAATCTCCTTCCCCTTGAACTTGCACGCACCCTGCATGATTAAATGTGCGTCATATTTCTCCAAATTGTGCAGCCCTATCGGGATGGGCGTTTGATTGGGCACTACTCTTAACTTGAGGTTGCAGTGAGCGTGTGCAGGACCTCGATATTTACCCGTTACGTGACAATGTTCTCGGACTTCTCTATACTTGTTGATGGGCTTTTCACAAGTCATGCAAATGAAGTCTTTGAAAACACGGTCGTTTAAGGAAATAAAGGCTGTCTTTTCACCTTTAGTTTTTGGTTCTTCCGGGATTTTACATTGGCATTGTGATTCTTTGGTTTTGCCCATATGTCTTTCGCAAATCCAGCATGTGTTACAGTTTTCGTAGATTTTTTGTAACTCGCACGACCAGGTTAGGGGTTTTGGATTGGCAAATGCTTTATCGATTGTACCGACTTCCCTACTTAGAGACTGCACAAATTTAACGGCTGCGTCTTGACCTCTGTATATTGTGCGATTGGTACACACACCATCACATCTAACGACTGCGTAAGAGTAGCTGTAGGGTTTGTGAATTTGTGTTTTGACCGTGTTTGTGTATGTAGGTGGTACACTCTCCAAAACAGATTCGAAATCCGCATAGATAATAAAAGGGGCGTCCTGCTTGTTTTCAAACTTGAGAATGTTTTTGCCTTTTTTGGGTAACACTACTTTACACGCTGCCGTGTCCATTCCTTGGCAGTTTTCTTGGTGTTTGTCTCACCGTTGTTCAGTTTGAAAGTGAGAAAGGCAATTGAAATACCAGTATAATTCAGCTTTATGTTTAGTGGCATCTAACGAGAGAAACTTTTAATCCAACAATAATGGCTTGTCTCACCTCTGGTTAAGTACAGTAAATTGATCCGTTCGTGTATATGTTTAGTTCGGTAGAGTATGTAAATACCTTCTTTCTCTGAGTAACCAAATATGTTGATTGCCCAGTTGTTTTGCTATTCGATTTGTGGAATCTGTGACACAGGAGTGTGAAAGTCTAAGTTTGAAAAGTTTAAACCGTTGTCTGCAGTGTAAGTTGAAGTTCTATCCTCGTGTAACTTATAATTTGAATTAATTTCCAGCTGATGTTTTACATGGTCTATGTTTAACTTTAAAGCAGCTCTCAACGCCCAGCAAATACACTCCGAGTCATTTTGGTTTTGGACGATACTGATTCCCCTAGTGTTTTGGGCAACAAAATGTAAGTCGCTCCTACTGGGTTAAACTTTACCATGTTAATGTAGAACGCCACAACCTTATCAAACACCCTGCCAGATATTACTCGTGAATGTGAACACACCAAGTTTGGTCTCTACTCCAGGATTTTCCATTTTGAACTGAACCTTGATTGCCGTTTGTAACTTGTAAGAATTTAACTGTTTTAACTCGGCCAACGCCTCGTCTTCAATAGACTTTTTGTGGAAATCAAAAAAGCATATCAAGTCATCGGCAAAGAAAGTAGGCACCAGTTTCCAGTTTTGGAAGCGCCTGATTCTTTGGATATTTACCTCTTCGATTGCCTGCGGTTTAATGTGTGATTTAATCGCGGTAATTAGGTCTTTGCATAGTACGTTCCCCTTTGTGCCTGTGGCCGTGAATGTGATGCTGTTATCTTGTACTATCAGTAAGAGTTGAGATTTTTTAATTGCTGTTGGCCCGCTTGAATAGCTTGTACGAGTTCCGGTTTTGTGTGCCTTTTTTACGGGGTGGTGGTAATGTAATGTGTATTGTTTCACAAAGTCATATAAAATGACATCTTCAATCGCCGAAAGTCTGATAATATAGGACGGTGTTGTGGTCTGGTTTCTTTGTTCATGTCTCTATTTATATAAAGGGTTTTATAAATTAACCCACTTTTTTTCTAAGCTTCAGTTCTTTTTGTTTGGCATCTCTTTTTACTAAATACTATTTACTTAACCACTTCATGCCGGGGCATTTTTCAATGTTGACGATGCTGGGTGGGCATGACTATCATTTTTTTCATTTTCAAAATCCTTCAAAAATTCATCATTTCATTTAACGGTCGTTTATAGCCGCACGAAGTAATCTTTAGGCACTACTCTAAGTTGACAGGTGACCTTCATTGACACCAAAGTATTTCAGCCAGGCCTGAAGCCTTGTAAAAAGAGCCCAGATCGTGCAGTGTTATGTATTTTTCTTTTATTCACGAACGTGGCTCAGTGCACTGCTGACCTCTTTTCAGTAGAGGCCAGATTAGCGTGCAGCGGTGCTGTGTGGCTCATCGCTGCGGTGGTGGAACGCTTTTGTCCCCAGTGGTAATCCGCTCGCT